AGTGGACGAATGAGCTCGAGATCCTGGCGTTCGATGACGGTGACCATCACTCACGACGACAGTTTCGGACAACTGATCATGACGTGGCGCGTCGAGCGGCGAGGACACGTGCATCGGGATTGTCAACGTCGAAACGGGAGACAACTGAGCACGCGCTTCTTCAGTGTGTCTGTCATCAAGCCGCAGAAGGAAACTGTGCTATCCAGTAGGAAGCGCTGAGTTGGGAGCTTCATTCGGATATCAAAACTTGACGTCGATACGAGACGCGTATCCTTGGTTGGAGCAAAGACACGGCGAATATGGACACGAAGCACGAGCAATAGCTATCTATGTACGTCTTCAGTCCTTTGCGTTCCTATATGTGTACTAGAGCTTCAAGCCGGGGCTTAAGGCTGCAAGATTTTCCCTGTTTCAGCTCACACCCTTTACACTCGATATACAAACAACAAGTCGAATCGGACGCTCGATAGCTTTTACGCCCTTGAAAAGGCATGAGCAAAACATCGTTTACCATTTTCGATCCAACTTGCTACGACGAACATGACCGCTTACTTTGGCCGCGCTACGATGGCTGCCTTGACCGCCGGGCTGGCCTACATGATCTACTCCAACGCCACGTCCACGCCTACGGACGTCACCGACGACGCACAGACGACAACGACCACGCCGTCGAGCACGGTCGAGCAGCAACACGATCACCTCGACACCGATCTCGACGAGCCGCCACAGCTCGACGCCGCTACCATCATGGAGCTCCTTGAAGACACACAACAACGCCACGTGGACGCGATGCAGGCGTCTCTGGACGCATCCACCGCCACCGCAGCGACACTGCAGCGCCAACTCGACGCCTCCAGCGCCGCAACAGCAGCAGCCGAGACCACCATCCGCGCTCTGCAGCACGAGCGGGATACAATGGCCGCCGACCATCTTCGCGCAATCGACGCGCTTCGAGCCGAGCACACGCGCCAGCTCGCTGCAACCCAAGCCTCTTTGGCCGAGTCCAACCAGCAGGTCGCGACTTTACGCGACCAACTCGACGCCTCGATCGCTCTGCAGGCCACCACACAAGCATCTCTCGATGTATCCGTCAACCGTTTGGCACACCAAGCTCTCGCGTCGCTCCACAAGTCGGCTGCAGCGGATGAAGTCATCCGAAATTTGCAGCTGGAGCTCAACGCAGCGAACGTGACGGTCGAGGTTGTGACGATGGACGCGGCAAGGGCT